AATTTGAAAAAAAAAAATTTTTATAAACAAACTAATTTTTTTAAAATTTGGGCGTTATTAATTTTTATTTATTTATACCTGAGAATACACAAAATTTTCCCGAAAGAACTGAGATGGGCCGACTCATAGTTTTCATTCTATAAATTTTTCAATTTCGCCGTGCAAACTCTCAATTTGACATAATTCGCGCCGTGTTTTATATGGTATGAAATGAAACGTCTAATGTATCTAAGTGATCAAATTTAATATTTATTATCACATAATATTACATTCATTGAAACATGAAAGAATTTAATATGATTTATGTAAATAATGTTTATAAAGGCAACGGTTTATCAGAGGAGTCCGTGTTAAAAGTGAAACAGTTTTTCGAATATGATGATATGAGCTCAATGATGCCGGTGCAAAAAGACGTTAAAAAAGTAAAAATAGGCGATCAAACTAAAACTGTTCAAAAGAGATTTATTATGTGAAATCTTAAAGATATTTTTAAGAAAATTAAAAATGAAAACCCAGATTTGAAGATCGTTTTCTCAAAATTTTGTTCTCTACGTCCAGAGCATTGTGTTTTTAGGCGGTTCGGGTGGCACACACAGAGTATGTGTATGTTCGATTCATGAAAATATGAAAACTAATGATTTTAGGTAAATAATAAAACTGAAAAAATTGAATGTAATATTATGTGTAATATTATGTGAATGTAATATTATGTGATAATAAATATTAAATTTGATCACTTAGTTACATTAGACGTTTCATTTCATACCATATAAAACACGGCGCGAATTATGTCAAATTGAGAGTTTGCACGGCGAAATTGAAAAATTTATAGAATGAAAACTATGAGTCGGCCCATCTCAGTTCTTTCGGGAAAATTTTCTGTATATTCTCAGGTATAAATAAATAAAAAAAAATAAAAATTAATAACGCCCAAATTTTAAAAAAATTAATTTGTTTATAAAAAAAATTTTTTTTTTTCAAATTTCTTAAAAGTTAAAGAAAAACCAAATGTTTCTTCCTTTGGCAACTTTTCTCTAAACTCAATACTTTAAAAGTTATAAGCTATTGAAAATAGGTCTACTTCTAAAAATTCAAAATTTCGAAAATTAAAAGCTCCAAAATTTTCATCTATATAATTTTAAAATGTTGTCTGCAATATTTAAAGAATATGCCAGAGTTTAAAGAATTGTCAAAAAAACTTTAATTTTTTAATTTTCTTTTTCAAATTTGTCGATTGTTAAAATCTTTGTGTAATTTCTTAAAATTTCGAATTGTATATTATTTAACACAATAAAATTGTACCTAATGATTAATTTTGTAAAAAAATGATTTTTGAATAGAAAAACTGTCCTTTTTAGAAAAGGGCCTATATTGTCGATTTTTCGTATTTTCAAAATTAAGAGGGGGGGATGGTTTTAAAAATTTAAAACCTATTGGTTTTTAATCTTATTGGTACCCTGAACTGTAAACAATTCTTATCTAAATAACTTCCAAAAAGAACCAGAGATATTGTTGTTAGAGTATTTTTTTTTCGTAATTATCGAAATAAAAATTTGGATATTGCGTCAATTTTTTCATAATAGAGACTGTCAAAAAATTTTAAATAAGTTTAATATCTATTCTTTTTCTTTAATTGACACAATAAAATTGTATCTAATGATTTTTCGATTTTTCGTATTTTCAAAATTAAGAGGTGGGGAGTGGTTTTAAAAATTTTAAACCTGTTGGTTTTTTATTTTACCTTTAAGGTGCCCTGAACTGGAAACAATTCTTATCTGAATAACTTCCAAAAAGAACCAGAGATACAATAACACAGGTCAACAAAAAAAGACTTACTTTTTTTATGAGATATCGGAATGGTTTCCGATGTATTTTTGGACGCTGAACACGATCCTGACTTCCAAAATTGCCCATCACGTCAGGATTTTGAGAAAAGTGGGGGTAAAGACCCCAAAAACGCTTTTTTGAGGATTTTCAAAAAAAAATTCTCTTTAACTTGACGTGCTAGAGACTTCCACAAGGTCTTAAATTAAAGCTTGTAATATGCACTACAAGACCCATATCCATAAATAAAAAAAAATTAAAAGTTTTTTAAAAAAATGGGGTTGAAGACATCAAAATATGTGTTTTTGGATTGCTTTAACCCATTTAGTCCCAAATGTCCGTTTTTTTTAGTACAAGTTTGAGCTTCCCGTTCTACGAGTTCCGGGTTTAAAAAAAATCGGAACAAAGGTTTTCTTATGGATTTGAGTGTCCTCTTTCAGAATCTGAAAAAAAATTTCGTTTTCGACTTAATGATAAAAAGTTATAATTGTTTAAACAAAAAAAGCCGTTTTTTTAGTGTTTTTTTCTTTAAAAGCAGATTATTTAATTGAAATCGGCTTGGGAAAAATCGGGGACATCAAAATATCGCGTCCAAAATGTTGGGACTATCAAATAGTCATATTGCCAAAAACAATTTTTTTCAAATTTCAAAATGGCGCCTCAAAAATGGCCGCCAAAATATGCAAATTTGGAAAAATAATTTAAAAAAATTTTTACACTACATTTTTTTTACTTTTATGCTTCATTCAAATAAAATAATGCTGCTTCAACAAAAAATATTGTTATTTGATGTTATTTAACAATATTATAAACAATTTGAAAACTATGGGCCAAAGTGGAAGCAAAAAATTTATTCTCATCAATTATCTTTTTTGGGGGAGGTAAAAATGGATATTGAAAGTAAAAAACTTAATTCAAAATTATTTTGCAATGTTTAAGAATGTTATAAACAATTTTTATAAACAATTTTGCAAAACATGAAATAGAATGGTAGAAAAAAATTATTTTTTTATTTTATTATGCTCTCTGGTAATCAAAATGTTGCTTAAGGTTTAAACTTTAATTTAACATTATTTAGCAATATTTAGAAATGTTATAAACAATTTTTATAAACAATTTTCATAGAAAAAGAAGTTTAGAGTGAAAAGAAATTTTTTTCACTATTTACTTGGTTTATCATTAGAATAGATATTTAAAAGACAAATCTTTGTCTGTAATTATTTAAGATTTTTTTACAATGTTATAAACAATTTTTATAAAAAAAAATGTTCAGAGTGGAAAAAATCTTTTTTCTTCACTACTAACTTTCTTTTGTCACTAAAAGTGGAAACTGAAGTATCTACCGTTTATAAAAAATTTGTAAACAATATATAAAAATGCTGTAAACAATTCTTATAAACAATTTGCTAAATATGAAGTACCATCATGGAAAAAAAGCATTTTTTTATTGTTAAATACCTTCTTGTAATCAAATTCTTTGTTATAGATATAAACTTTCATTTAACATTATTTAGCACTTTTTAAAAATGTTATAAACAATTTTTATAAACAATTTTCATAGAAAAATCAGTTCAGGATGGGAAAAAAATTTTGATTTTCTTTATTGGTTTGTTTGTCATTAGAATAGATATGTTAAAGATAAACCTTTGTCTGAAATTATTTAAAAAAAATTATTAATGTTATAAACAATTTTTAAAAACAAATTTTTATAAAAAAAGTTATTTAGAGATAAAACAAATTTTTTCTTTACCACTAACTTATTCTAACATTAAAATGGAAACTGATGTTTCAACCGTTTATCCAAAATTTATAAACAATTTTTAAAAATAATATTTTTCATAAATGTTTTAAACATTTTTTTATAAATAAATTGAAAAGAAGACGTTCTTTAGTGGTTTAAAATATCTCTTTTGCAAGACATTCACTACTTGAAGGTGTACGTTTTTTAGAATTATCACTTTTTGTTTGTTACGTTCGATTTTAATTATTTTTTTAGTTTATCTTTGATCGATTTTTCCCTCTTTTTTGAAAATATGTATGACAGAAGGATACAGCCTCATTTTTAGTGCTTTTATGGAAATTTATGGGAACTATGGTTTGTGCGCATGTGTGAAATCTCTTACTACACATGAGCAGTTAGCAGGGTTCCCATCACTATACTGATCCCACCACTGCACTGTTCCATACTGACTTACTCTTAACATTTCTACTTTTTATGTCTTAGCGTTTTCGATAGTCTTGAATTTTTTTAAGTTAATTATTTTCTATACTGTTAGGTAACATTGCATTTGTTGTTATTTTTTTTCATATTATTATATTACACTTCTGCATGTTATAGTATTTGAGATAAGTATTAATTTGAATTATTTATTTAAAATGCCGAAAAGAAAAAGGTTAACTGGGACGTCGTTACACTCTGACTTGGAAGTTATTGAAAATGATAGTTATACTGATGTTTTGATCAATTTAGATCAATTAGAAGAGAGTGAGTCAGATTGCAACTCTAATGAAAGTGATAGTTCTGGGTACGATACTGATGAAGATTCGATTAATACAATAGATTTTCCTACAACTTTCGCCAAAATTTTCGAAAATTATACATCTAATCAAAAAAAGTTAGAGCCTAATCATCAGTATGTATGGGTAAATAATGAAAAAAATCCTCTTTTGAGCCTGAAAATGTCTGCTTACTTACTGAAAGGCAAAAAGAAAAAATTCGAAACAGTTCTGAAACTGATTTGTTTGAACTATTTTTTTCTCAGGAATTAAATCTGTATATAATTGAGGCTACAAAAAGTAATGGTTTATCTATTACCCTTCACGATTTGGAAACTTTTTTAGGAATAATAATTCTATCTATTTTCAATCAAAGATCGTCTTATAAAGATTATTGGGCCAAAAATATTTTGCTGTGGAACGAACAGGTACGCAACGCTATGTCGCGTGGAATGTTTCAAAAAATAAAATCGCGAATAAAGTTGTCCAAGCATTCAACAAACGATTCTCAAGACAAAGCATGGAGAGTACGCCCAGTGTTAGAAATTTTTCGAAAAAATATATCGCAGTTCGGTTTTTTTTCAACTGCGCTGGCTATAGATGAGATGATGGTAAAATTTTTTGGGAGAACAAGTTTAAAACAATTAATTAGAGGAAAGCCAGTAAGATTTGGGGTAAAGATGTGGGGAATCTGCAGTCCAGAAGGATTTTTGTTCGACTGCGATATTTATTGTGGTAAAGATTCTTCTGTTCAATGCGAAAAATTATCAATTTTAAATAAATGCGCCTTGGGAAGTCCTGTCGTTTTACAAATGGTTTTTAAGTTGCTTTCTTCCACTATTCCGATGAAATTACAAAAGTATCATTTATATTTTGATAATTTCTTTACTAATCCGGACCTGTTAGTCCACTTGAAAAAGCTTGGTCTACAAGCAACGGGAACAGTAAGAAATAATCGGGTAAATGTACAAAATTCGCTGAATAAAAACGCTGCAAGAGGCACTTATGTTGTACAACACGAAAGGAATAGTGGAATGAATTACATAACAGTTATGGATTCCAAACAAGTATCCATACTGTCTACGATGTCTGGTGTTACACCAATAGGAAAAGTAAAACGCTATTCTCCAAATGAAAAGGAAAGAATTGAAATCGACTTCCCCAGAAGCTTTTTGTATTATAAAAAATTTATGGGAGGAGTCGATTCACACGATGCATTTTGCAGTAAATTGTTGCCTCCTATAAGAGCAAAAAAATGGACATGGTCCATTCTTATGCGAATTGTGCAATCGTCACTGAGTAACGCAACTGTGCTTCGAAACCTCGCTTCATATGATAAAAAAGTAAGCACCAAACATGTTGCCTTATCCGTTTGTAATGCATATTTGAAAAAAAGAAAAACGAAAGATTATTCATTACACACAGCGACGATAAAAAAATTAAAAAGGAACTGCGAAAATCAGAAGTGTGGTTCTCGAACGCAAAAATTTTGCATTGATTGCAAACAATATCAATGTAAAGCGTGTTTTAAAAATTTTCATTCTTAAAAGTTCAATACAGATGCCAAATGGAATTATAATTTATAATATTTGAATATAAAAATATAAAAATATAATATAAAATATAAATATAAATATAAAATATAATATAAAAACTGTTCTCAGAGAAATAAAATATAAAAAAAATATCTAATAAGAAAAATTTTTTAAAAAATTTAAAAAATTAAAAAAACAAAAAAATTTTTAAAATTAAAAAAAAACAAAAAAAATTTTAAAAATTAAAAAAACACAAAAAAAAAAATTTTTTAAATTAAAAAAATAAAAAAAAAGAAAAAATAAAAAAATTTATTCTCCAATAACGTATACCTCCAAGTGGTAAGAGTCGGGCAACGCATATATTATCTGTATAGTGATGGGAACCCTGCTAACTGCTCATGTGTAGTAAGAGATTTCACACATGCGCACAAACCATAGTTCCCATAAATTTCCATAAAAGCACTAAAAATGAGGCTGTATCCTTCTGTCATACATATTTTCAAAAAAGAGGGAAAAATCGATCAAAGATAAACTAAAAAAATAATTAAAATCGAACGTAACAAACAAAAAGTGATAATTCTAAAAAACGTACACCTTCAAGTAGTGAATGTCTTGCAAAAGAGATATTTTAAACCACTAAAGAACTTCTTCTTTTCAATTTATTTATAAAAAAATGTTTAAAACATTTATGAAAAATATTATTTTTAAAAATTGTTTATAAATTTTGGATAAACGGTTGAAACATCAGTTTCCATTTTAATGTTAGAATAAGTTAGTGGTAAAGAAAAAATTTGTTTTATCTCTAAATAACTTTTTTTATAAAAATTTGTTTTTAAAAATTGTTTATAACATTAATAATTTTTTTTAAATAATTTCAGACAAAGGTTTATCTTTAACATATCTATTCTAATGACAAACAAACCAATAAAGAAAATCAAAATTTTTTTCCCACCCTGAACTGATTTTTCTATGAAAATTGTTTATAAAAATTGTTTATAACATTTTTAAAAAGTGCTAAATAATGTTAAATGAAAGTTTATATCTATAACAAAGAATTTGATTACAAGAAGGTATTTAATAATAAAAAAATGCTTTTTTTCCATGATGGTACTTCATATTTAGCAAATTGTTTATAAGAATTGTTTACAGCATTTTTATATATTGTTTACAAATTTTTTATAAACGGTAGATACTTCAGTTTCCACTTTTAGTGACAAAAGAAAGTTAGTAGTGAAGAAAAAAGATTTTTTCCACTCTGAACATTTTTTTTTATAAAAATTGTTTATAAAAATTGTTTATAACATTGTAAAAAAATCTTAAATAATTACAGACAAAGATTTGTCTTTTAAATATCTATTCTAATGATAAACCAAGTAAATAGTGAAAAAAAAATTTCTTTTCACTCTAAACTTCTTTTTCTATGAAAATTGTTTATAAAAATTGTTTATAACATTTCTAAATATTGCTAAATAATGTTAAATTAAAGTTTAAACCTTAAGCAACATTTTGATTACCAGAGAGCATAATAAAATAAAAAAATAATTTTTTTCTACCATTCTATTTCATGTTTTGCAAAATTGTTTATAAAAATTGTTTATAACATTCTTAAACATTGCAAAATAATTTTAAATTAAGTTTTTTACTTTCAATATCCATTTTTACCTCCCCCAAAAAAGAGAATTGATAAAAATAAATTTTTTGCTTCCACTTTGGCCCATAGTTTTCAAATTGTTTATAAAATTTGTTTATAATATTGTTAAATAACATCAAATAACAATATTTTTTGTTGAAGCAGCATTATTTTATTTGAATGAAGCATAAAAGTAAAAAAAAAGTAGTGTAAAAATTTTTTTAATTATTTTTCCAAATTTGCATATTTTGGCGGCAATTTTTGAGGCGCTATTTTGAAATTTGAAAAAAATTGTTTTTGGCAATATGACTATTTGATAGTCCCAACATTTTGGACGCGATATTTTGATGTCCCCGATTTTTCCCAAGCCGATTTCAATTAAATAATCTGCTTTTAAAGAAAAAAAACACTAAAAAAACGGCTTTTTTTTGTTTAAACAATTATAACTTTTTATCATTAAGTCGAAATCGAAATTTTTTTTCAGATTCTGAAAGAGAACACTCAAATCCATAAGAAAACCTTTGTCCCGATTTTTTTTAAACCCGGAACTCGTAGAACGGGAAGCTCAAACTTGTACTAAAAAAACGGACATTTGGGACTAAATGGGTTAATAGACTCCATGTAATTGCTTGGATTCGCTTGAAAATTGTTACTCGGGGTTTTTGAAGTCGTTGATAACGAATCTGATATTAGTTTTCAAAAATTTAAAATGGCGGAACCAAGATGGCAGATTTAAAAATTAAGAATTGCTTGGATTCGCTTGAAAGTTGTTACTCCAGGGTTTTTGGGGTCGCTGATTACGAATTCGCCATTTTGAATTTTTGAAAACTAATATCGGATTCGTAATCAGTGACCCCAAAAACCCTAAGTAACCATTTTCAATCGAATCCAAGCAATTTCAAGAAGTCTATTATTATTTAAGTCTATTATTTTTTTTTATTATTTTTTTTTATAAGTCTATTTTTATTTTGCAATCAAAAAACACACTTTTTTTAGTGTCTTCAACCCCATTTTTTGAAAAAACTTTTTATTTTTTCTTAATTTATGGATATGGGTCTTGAAGTGCACATTACAAGCTTTAATTTAAGACCTTGTGAAAGTTTCTAGCACGTCAGGTTAAAGAGAAAAAAAATTTTGAAAATCCTCAAAAAAGCGTTTTTGGGGTCTTTACCCCCACTTTTCTCAAAATCCTGACGTGATGGGCAATTTTGGAAGTCAGGATCGTGTTCAGCGTCCAAAAATACATCGGAAACCATTCCTATATCTCATAAAAAAAGTAAGTCTTTTTTTGTTGACCTGTGTAATTAGTTGGTATCGCAATCTTTAATTCCGTTTTTCTCGAAATGAGGTTTTTGGCGTTCTAAACTTTAAAATTCCGTAACTCAGCGAATTTTTAACCAAAAAAGTTCTAAGACCACTCAAAATTTTCCAAAGTTTGCCAGGAATACGCCCATGTAGATAACTCCAATAGTATCAAAATGGTCCCTTTTCATGAGGACGTCCACATTTAAAGATTGGTAAGTTTTTGGGCCATGCGCGTGGAGCCACTCTGACGGTAGCCCAATGGGAAATCTCTGAATAATGCCAACAGTGACAAATGGCGCAGGACAGAACCATTTGTTCTTCCTGCATTTTCCCAAGGCTTGGCAGGGTAATCTTAACGCAGGACAGAATAAATGGTTCCGCCATAGTTATGCCAAACCTTGTCAGGTAAATCTGGGCGCAATACAGAATAAATGTTTTCGCCATAGTAATGCCAAATCTTGGCAATAATACTTCGGCTTAGTACTGTAAATATGTTTTTAAGAACTTAATTTCAAAATTCATAAATTGAATAATTTTTTTGTTAATTATTCACTGAAAAAAAATTCAATACGAAATTAACAGATTTCATAAAATTAACAGAAGCTTCTTGGTAAAACCAACCATCTTGTTAGGTTGTTATTGTTTTCATTCACATTTCACAAAAAGTAACCTCACTTTTTTGTCATTTCTTAATTATATGCAAATCTCAATTTTGAGTATGATTGACATGAAGCATTTTTTACTGTATCTTAAAATATTCTTTATTGTTTTATTATTCTTCTAGTAAATATTTAAACAATGTTCTTATGTATAAAAGTCTCGTATTTGTTTTAATGGTGTAATGTTATTATTTGATACTTATTTGCATTTTGCATTATTGTTATTTATAATGGCAAATTTTTTTAATAAATTAATTTAGCAAATAATTTTCTAAAATCTATTTATTTAAATGAAAAGTTAGAAAATAAATTTTATATAAAAATTTAGGAATTTTATTCATTAAGCTTAAATTTATTGCACTAATCTTTCATTTAAAAATTAATTTTTAAATGATTCCTTATATTTTACTATTCTTCTGTAATATATATTAAATATAATGTATATTATAATATACTATTATTGCAATTACAATATCCCACTTTAAAGTTACAGAGCATATTTTCATACTTCCTTATTCATATGTATGTATATTCTAACTTTCCATTCATGAGCCTCCGTGGCGCAGTTGGTAGAGCATCCGCTCCTAGCAGCGTCTTGCGTTCGAGACTTCATGATGGTAATTATTCAGATAAATAGCAAAACAAATTTTCTTCGACAGGTATTAACATTCCAAGCATACATGACATAAGAATAGCATAATTTTTTTTTTAATTTTAAATTTTGTTTATAAAAATAAAAGTAACATCGTCGTGTCACGAAAAATATGTATTCACCTGCATTACCGCAATACTAACATTCTGCATTGACGCCAGTACTGAATTAGTACCGATTGTCAGTACATTTACAACTCTTACACAAAATATTAAAACTTGCTATTTCAATGTAGCAAATTTTTCTATTTCTTTTGTAAATTTATCTAATTCTGTAGTATATTATGCTAAAAGTTCCCTTATTTCCGGTCATTGCAACCATTTTTAGTAATTTTTACAAATGTGGATCTCTCTGTGTAATGTAAAATAAATAATTTTTAAACAAATAAACCCCAAAAAACGAAAAATGTAAAAAATATCTTTAACAACATGTAAAAATACATTTAACTTTTCGCCCCAGGGTGAATTTTTGGCTTTAAGGTCATGTTATTTAGTGGTCACGTGCTCCATATACTTTACTATGGGAACACGTGACCACTGAATAACATGACCTTAACAACAAATATAAAAAATCTGACTAAAGATATTTAGCAAATGCCTTTAGGAATGCTCTAACTATTTCTGTTCAAAAGATAATGAATTTGAACTGTTTTAACAGTTTAACCTTTCGCCCAGTCTCCCTTAGATATTTATAAATATTAGTATACAAGGGTTTTTGGGGTCGCTGAATTCAAATATGACGTCAAAAAAATTCAAAATGTCGGATTCAATATGTCGGACAAAATTTTTTAATATTAAACAGACCTGTTTCTAAAAATTAGTATACAAGTTTACAAGTTAGGGAAGCATTAGGCGACTGTTATTTCCACCACTAATATATAAGATATTTTTAAAAATATCTTTTATCCACTATTGCAACCTACAATAAAAACTTGATGCTTCTTTTTTTCTTACCATCTGATAATTCATTAGACTTTTTTCACGGAGAAATTATATTGAATAATAATCATGATAACGCCTAAGAAGTTGAATGTGAAATACCTTTGAAACAAAGGCAAAGGATATAGAATAAAGTACAAAATTGAATAAAAATCGGATTAATTGAAAAACATTACGTCCTCCATTTTAAATTTATTATTTTTTATTTTGAAAGACAAACTTAAAATGAGCAAGCCAAAATACCTCTAGATAATGAAATTAATAAAAATCTAAATGAATTTTAAAAATTATGTATACGCTATTTTGAATTTATAAAAATGAATATAAAATTTGAATTCAGCCACCCAAAATACCCTTAGATACTAAAATTGATATAAATTCAAATAAAATTTAAAAATTCTGTCCGCCATTTTGGATCGAACATTTTGAATTTTTAAAAATGAAGGTCAAATTCGAATGCAGTGTCCCAAAAAACCCATAGGTACTGAAATTGATAAAAATCCAAATGAATTTTTAAAATTATGTACGCCATTTTGAAGCCGCTATTTTAAATTTATAAAAGTAAACGTCAAATTAGAATTCACTGACCCTAGAAAACCCTTTTACACTAAATGTGAGTTAAGTTTAAAAAAAAATTTTCATAAATTTTACTTTTTTTAAAATTAATAATAACACAGCCAAACAAAAAAAATAAAAATTTCTGATCTGGGGG